TTTTTTTTTTTTTTTTTTTTTTAACAAAAAATCAAAATAGTTTTTATTTTATGTTCGCGCGTATGAACAGCCACCCGTCGTGTATACAATTTGAGAAACTAGGACTGTACTACCTTTCACTCCTCTGTAAACGCATTTTCTCACATTCACGCTTTTTTATACACTCTCGCGCACACATACTCTTTCTCTCTCTCGCTCTTTTTTCTCGCCTCCTCGTAGTCTTCTTTCTTTTGCGAACTTTTTACGTATGAAATAAAAAAACATGTTAGTAGACACATCGATAAAATCAGCATTCGTAACAGGTCAAATCATATAAAGTCTTGTATCCTTTTTTAATCCATTTACGTATAAATATTGTTAAATATGTATATTAAAAATTTACTACGTATTTGACGATTATTTTACACAGAATTTGTTATTCTAACCCGATAATGACTTAAGTTGGTTAAGTAACTCTTCTTTTTTTCTTTTTTTTTTTTTTTTTCTAATGGACACGAATTTCTCCTCCGATATATCTAAAGAGAGTTAATAAGGATTTTTTATAAAATAATCCTTAAATGTTCTCTCTCTCTCTCTTTCTTACACGCACTCTCTTTCTCTCTTTCTCGCTCTCTCTTTTCACTTATCAAATCATGCACCTTATCGGCTTTAATGGATGTACAAACAAAAAACAGGAAAACAGAAGAGATGACGTTTTAGATTAATACCGCATTTCTATGTGAGGATGAGTCACGGTGTTATCATTGTATAAAAATCTAAACTGACTTTAAACACGTACTAAAAAATATAATTGCTTCTGTCAAGCGAGAGGGCCGATTATCGGTGATGATTCCAATAAAGGTCAACCTCTGTGCGCTCGGAATATACTTTCGTTGAAGCCTCCGTGACTCGTTATAACTCGCGCGTCGTCAGTCGGGCCGAACGCTGTTATTCTCGACGTAAACGGACATTTACTACACACATGGAATCTATTTGTTTTTTTTTTTTTTTTCTTTCACTTACGACCGAATCAATAACATTTGCTCTGGTATACGATGATAAATTAGCGTTTATACACTATTGGCGCGTCTCGCGTGGAACGCGAGAGCTCTTCGCTGTTCGCACCGACATAAAGATTTCGAAATATCGAAGAAAGAATCGGAAGAAACAAAAGTTTTTTTTTTTTGTTTTTTTTGTTTTTAACGTGTATATATGAATTCACCAATGAATCAAAATTTGAATAGCTCGTGAAACGAATACGTCGATAGACCGATTGAGTAATGTGCTGTAGACAGTTCGATCGCGATATATGGATTCGCACACACGCGTGTATCACTATGGTGACGGTGAGGTTTGTCAGTTTTGCACACGTATTGCGTGTATCCTCTGATTGCCGCAACAGGTTTGATGCTCATATATCTCTCAAGAATAGAACTGCGATTAGGTAATTAAATTGCGAAATCAACCGCGGTTTATCTTAATTTCAAACACGCTCACACGTTTTCACACAATTCTGAACACGTGTAACTGCTGCAACGAATTGCGCGGAAGAATTCAGACGGATATCTCATAAACGGCATACATCCTTTCATCGTTGGAGCGCGAGACGCGCAGACTGATCGGCGGCTCTCTTAGAATCTCCGTCCAGCCGCAGGATGGTGCGGAGACCGGAAAGGTGGGCTATACGGATATCTCATAGTTCATATCGTACACACTTGCCCGATCTGGCGTCGGTGTCGTCGGTCTTTGTGATCGCGAGTCGTTAGGCGCCGAGACCATCTCCATAGAATCGGCCAACTCTACGTTCTGTAAAGCTTTGACGAACGACATCGGTCGACGCTCTCTCGAGGTCGGTGTCGTGGGCGTCGCCATCGTAGCTGCTTTCCGTTTAACTTGCGGCGACTGATGCGGTTGATGCGGCGGGAAGACTGGCACTCCGCCCCTCATGGCCGGATGATAGGCAACTCTGGAGGGGTTTGTCGTATACTGCGGCTGTTGGGTCGGACTTGTGGGATTGGACCGATAATAGTCATATGGCGGAGGTGGCCGTTGCGAGGGCGATTGATGTGGCATAACGCCGCTCGTCGCACCTCCGGCGGGTGGTGGACCTGGATAGCTGCCGGGCGAGTTGTCCTTCCACATGTAGACACCGCGTTGCGGCGAACCCGCCAGTTCGCGTATGTTGTCGACCGTGTTGTTGGTTCTCGAGTACGAATGATCGGTGTTCTGTCGCACGAGCTCGCCTTCCGACAGAAAACGCCGTTGCGGACTGCTGTAGCCGGTAACAACGGAACCGGCAACATTAACTCCTGGATTGTTTCCCTGCTGTACATCGTAATATGTAGGTGTTTCGTTCACGCCTATGAAATCCGGCCTACGAACCTGGGTCGGTGTACTTGGATTTGATCTGTAACAGACGCGATAAACGTTAGATATTTCCGAGACCTCCGGTTAACGAGGAAAAATGCTTTCGATAATTCGACAAATGCACAGTACAGTGAACCAAGATGAATATGCGAGTGCTTGAGCAATTGTAGCCATACAAATACGGCTCTGGCGAGACATACAGGAGAGAGAGCACAGCGCATCATTCCTGTTAAGAAATTAGCATCTATTTAAAAAACGTAAAAAGATAGCGAACCTAAAAAATATACATGTGTATGTGTCATGTGAGAGTGTATGTGTGTGTGTCTCTGTACAGAACAAATACATTTTTTTTTTTTTTCATTTAACCATGTATTTCTATGGCTGCGGTCCGTTTCATGCTTAATCGCGCATTTATCTGTAGTATATGTCACGTATACTATAGATAAATGTGCGCTTAAGCATGAAACGGACCGCAGCCTATGTATACAAAGATATGCAAGAAAGCATAAATTGTAAACTACGGTATGTCCTCGTAGGATGAAGTTCGTGTTTACCTGCAGTAGGTTGCAATATGATGGTAGAAAGCAGCTCCTTGCAGTTACCACCCCCTGCAGTGGGACACAAACTTATCTATATACCATATATCTTTTAATATGTACATGCAGAGAAACTAATCCTCTACAGTTATTATTTATACTACTATTGCGCACAATTTTCCCTTTAGACACGTTCCTTTGTCATTTGGAAAGTGAAAAAAGTGGTGACAAAAGAAGGAGGAAAAAGAAGAGCAAGAGTGAGGTGTTCGACAGTGTGTGTTTAGGGACAGGACATTTTAACAAAAAAAACAGGCCGATACACATCATGTATCGAAGGACAGCAAAAAAAAAAAAAAAAAAAAAAAAATGTAAACAGGAATATCGTTCACTTTGTAATTGGTAGCGTGCTCAAGAGATGCAATATAAACTATTAACTAATGTGGCGTTTCCCTCTTGCTCTCTACATTGAGATAATTTTGTGCAACGTGAAATATATCGCGGGATATACAGGGTGATCCAGAACAACCCGTTATCCTTGAAAATACATATTCTTGACTAAATTCTAAGACAACTTTTTATTTGGCAAAATTTTGTCTGAAGCTTACTTTTTGAGTTATTAATAAAAATAGTTGACTTACCACAAGTCGGATGCAAGA